GTAAATCTAATGCTTTTATACATTAAAAATAAATTTCACCTAAAAGTTAAATATTTCACCTGAAGTGAAATATTTCACTGAAATATTTCACGAAAAATAAATTTCACTGAAAATGCCAACCTTAAAAATAAGTGATAAAATGCTTTCCAATCACAACACCATTAATACGCTCAACAACTATTTTAGTTGCCCTTGGCCTAAATGTAATTATAACACTAACAGTAAGTGTGCGTTAAAAGTACACAAATTAAAACATTCAACAAGGAGACAATTTAAATGCGATTTCAATGGTTGCGCTAAAAAATTTAAACAAAAATCGCATTTAACTCGACATAAAAATAGTGTTCATTTAAACGTGAGATATGTATGCGATTGGAGTGAATGTCGCAAACAGTTTACAACGAAATATCATTTACTTCGACACAAAAGTTGCGTTCATTTGAAACAAAAGCCATTCAAATGTAATGAAGAAAATTGTGGCAAAAGTTTTGTTTTGAAAGAGAATCTAAAACAACATAAACTGAACATTCATATGAAAAACCGTCAATTTGTTTGCAATTATAAAGATTGTAATAAGTTATTTTCGTAATAGCTATTTAAATGTTCACCTACTCCATAATAAATTATTTATTTATTTAAGTATATTTAAAATGTTAAAAGTTTACAGTTTATTATAGCAAAGTATTCAATACTATATCAGTTCAACTATTCAATAAATGTTATCTGTTACTATGGAGATAATTGTAACTATGACATTATGACATGTAAGCAGTATATCATATATGTAATAAAATTATTTATCGCTCCCCAATGTTTATTAAAAGTTATAATAATATTAATTGCGTAGAGCCACCAATGAAATTATAAATTTAAAATATAGTATCAGTATTTATTTTTAAAATCTAGTCTAATGATTATTTATCAAAAATTTTGCTAGTTACACTATTTGTTTTATGTGAGTAAAACAATAAAATATAATTTAACCTTGAAAACTTGTAATGATTATGTGAATGTTGTTTATTGTGTAATGGACTTCATTTTGAATGTTATTACAAGTTGTAAACAATATGTGGTGTGTGAGTTTTATTAATTTTAAATTATACTGACAAAGTGAACTAGATTATAACAGTAATTATATAATTTCATATAACTGCCAAACAAAGCCTCAATAAATTAGTATTTCGATGGATAATATAGATACAGGTATTAGCCTAATAATGTTATAGAAATATATATGTTATAATATAATATTGTACAATTTTTTACAAATAGAAACTAGTTCATTTTCAAGTAGCTGTTCAATGGCAAGTCTTTTCGATGAATTATCAGTGATCGGATCCGGGACATTTGGGGTTGTATTTAAAGCAAAACTTAAAATCGGTGGACATATATATGCGGTTAAAAGAATCGAGTTGAATTGTATGTACATAATTAAATTTTTGTTTTTAATGTTTTTTTAAATCATGCACGTTTTGTATATGTTAATTTCAACTAGTTTATTTGAGGAAAATGATTAAAAACGTGCATAATGTTCAGATTCTGAATATACTAAATATACTAAATTTTTCAGTAAAAACGTGTGCCTTATATCAAATATTAATTTTTTGTTATTTGACAATCATTCATTTAGCATGATACATATAAATCAACATATACAAATTAATTCATTTTCAACTTAAAAATGAATGATTTTATAGTTCAGAGTGATTACAAAATATTTAATTATTTTTATAAATTTAAAATTTCAGCACAATTTTCATATAATTCTGAATATTTACACCGAGTTCATAATGAAGTTAATCTTTTGAGAAAAGTTCGCTCAGAATATGTGGTCGAGTATTACAACTCGTGGTTCGAAAGCAAATACCTCTGCATTCAGATGGAGTACTGTTCGCAGAATTTACGGACTATTCTTGTAGTAAAGCCACAAATATTTGGACGACAATTGGGTGAAGCCATCGATTGTGTCGAGTATTTCGTTTCGTGTGAAATATTCCGTCAGATCTTAGAAAGTGTTCAGTATTTACATGAATTGAATCCACAGATCATTCACAGAGACCTCAAACCAGAAAACATATTAATCACCGAAAATGTAAGGAACGGTAGATTTGTTAAATTATGTGACTTTGCTACAGCTGTCGAGAATAAATCAGATTCTCAGGACCCAGAAATGGTTCAAGCAAAATATACCACAAAATCGGACATTTATAGTTTGAGCGTTATTTTAATGGAATTGTTTGACATATCATTTGAATCATTAGAGTATGTATTTTACTATATTTTAATAATTATTAAATTTTAATTTATAAATTTACTCATTTTTCAGACTAAATGAACGTGGTAAATATGATAATAGTCCGTTGCTAAAGTATATAGAAAATTTAACGTTATTGTTAACTTCGATGGTTCCATATGGACCTTATTTACCAAGTTGCAATGATATATTACAAAATACTGATGATTGTCAGCTTGATAAGGAGTTTATTGAACATAACATTGCTGAATTCACTTTATTTGCTAGTAATGCTATAACTGATGACAACAAATTATTTCATGATATTATAGCAACAAGGTTTAAAACTGATAATATCGTTTTTCGTACAATTGATGAAATAGTCGATGCTAACAAAACATAATTAGTTCACAATTAGTAGCACTTCCCGAAAATTTAAAACACCAATAGCAATTTACAATTAACGCAGTTTTCTATAACCAGTGATAATAGCCGGATACTATTTGCTAATAACCCGAATTAGGCTCAAGGACAAGATGATGGTGGCACTGGTTATGGGATCACTAATGATGACCACCCTAATGATTCGTATAATGATCGTGGTGCCCATAACGTATAAATAAATTTAAATAAAAATAATGCTGAAATAAATCGTATGAATACAATAAACTATTTTCACAACTTGTAAATTATCTGAGTTGGGAGCATCGTGATTTGATAGTTAAATGTGCAAGGATAATCAGTGATAACCCAAATGTCGACTAATTAAATTGATCTAGTTATAATCAATGGGTGACATTCATATTTTACACATGAGTAACCATAGCCTCATAGTTGCTATCCTTGGCTACCCTCTGGCCGAGTCAACATACCTGTGCCTCACGTACAGTACACACAACCTTCCATACCTGTCATACCCACCCATTCGCACCATTAGCTCATTCGTAGATATTAAAGGCATAGATATTTAAATATTCACCTAGTTAATTCCCATATGAATGCTGGAGAACAAATGATATAATAGTAACTAATGTTAAGTAATTCAAAACAGTTTAAAATTAAAGTATTAAAGTTATTTTTGGTACATATATATTATATAATTTATGTTATATAACATATTATTTGAATTAATAAAAATTGTTTTGTAATGTAATGTACTTGTTTATAAATGATATAGTATCACACTATTCAATGAGATTACAATGAGATTTGCTTTTTAGTTTTATTAGTTACTATTTCTAAGGCTCCATTTAATTTTGATATTTAATTTATTTCATAATTTGTGTGTTTTTGTTGGAAATGTTTCCCATTTGTAAAAAATATTAATTTATTGACAAACATTAAAAACAAAATCAAATTATTTCATGCTTTTCATAACTATAAATAAATAAAAGTATACTAATATTATATTATGTTTGCCGCAAAAAATGACTCGTTTTATGGGTTGGGTTTGTAATAGTAAAGGGTGTCTGGGTTTGGGTCACGGATTTGGGTTTGAGTTTTATGTGTTGAATTGGAAACACCTAAAATTATACCGAAAATATATGGACTATGAATACAACAGTTTATCATTGGATATGACTTTGTGTTGGCTATCAACGAGGACAACCATGTGTGTTGGTTGGGGTCGCAATGATCGGGAACAGTGTGGTAGAGGTGTGACACCGGACAGGTACTTAAAACCTGAGAAAGTATCACAAATGAATGATTGAAATATAATAAAGGTCATATGATATGATTTGAAAAAGTAAATCCGTGTCTCAAGTGCTTTCCTATTAAGATAATTTGCTATCAATAAAAAACTTTCAAATATTCAATGTATATATTTTATGTAATATAAATCCCCCGTGAATATAGTATATTTTGCTAGTATCAATACTACAAACATTTATACTGCATATAAAATACTAAATGCCCTTGATTATTGAGTAACGCTTATGTGAATGAGTAGTATATTTATCAAATATTTTAACTGTCAATACCTATTAATAATTCTATTATGAATTGTTAGTAATATTTCACTTTTACTTTATATTAGTTTGCTTTTGTAATTGTCTTAAAATAATAAATATTCTTAAAATAATTTACAATTCATGTGAAAATGTCTACAATTTTAGACAAGTTTCGCATTTGCGATACGATTGATACGAATATCAAACGTGTGATCAAATTATTTCATATTTTTAATGACTGGCGGAATGAACAGAATATACTCATTATTACAAACAGCGATATAGTGTATGGTATGGGCGCTAATAACCTGGGTTGTCTGGGTTTGGCTGACAAACATAATGTCCAAACACCAGAGATTATACAAGAATTATGTGGACAACGGATCCGAGAGTTTATCACTGGATATGACTTTGTGTTGGCTATCAATGAGGACAACCATGTGTTCAGTTGGGGACACAACGAGAGGGGACAGTTAGGCAGAGATGTGACACAATTTGGTAAATATTTAACACCGGATTTTATATCATATATGAATGACATTAATATCGCACACGTATGTTGCGGTCATCAACACTCCCTGGCCCTCACCACCGATGGACAGGTGTACGGGTGGGGCAGTAATTTCTGTGGACAAGTAGGTAGTGATGATACAAATGATGTCTGTCCACCAGTTGTCATAAAAGTTTAAAATAATTATAAAATTAAAAGCATTTTCTGTTCGCCATTCAACTCATTTGCCATTACTATGGAGGGACAGGTATTCAGTTGGGGTCACAATAAGTACCACCAATTAGGACATGATCTTGCTACTAATATATTATCACCCAAACTGATCCCGCATTTAAATAGTATCAAGGCAATTTGTTCAACAAATTCTGGTGATAATTATTTCACATGTTTTCTGTCAAATGATAATATGATATATTTTTGTGGACAGTATGCTTACGATATAAATCAGGTGCATGAACAATCAACCCCGGTACATATTTCATTTAAGCTAAATGTCCAGTTTGCAAATATTCAGTTTAATGTATATTGCTCAAATCATAATAAAGCAATAATACAAACTGATAATAAAATATGCGAGATTATATCACCAATCGAAATGCGAATGTATAACCATGCTAATTTTATAGATTTATATGCTAATGAATACCAGTTAAGCTACAATACGTTACATATGGACTCAAATGTTGTATCAAATTCCGATAAAATTAGGCCAGAATTGGATCAAACATTAACTCAAATTCCACCAGAAAATACTAATTTAAACACTAATGAACCATGGTGGGTTGTACAGAAATTTAAACAATTATTATGGAGAAATAATAATTCAATTGAAAATAATAATGGAAACAATAATGATGTAAACGCTACTTCAACTTTTATAGAAAATAATAATTTCGATGATATTACTTACATAATTGATAAGGATGAGCTAGATGCTAGCAATGATTTAAATAACAGCACTAATGTACTTGATAATAATCAAATTAAAAATGTAGATATTAATGAAATAATTAATAACGTAAATAAAAATATTAATACAAATATTGGTAGGTTGTAATATTATTATTCTAGTTGTAAACTATTATTTAATTAATGATTACATTTTTATTATAATTATAAGAAAATATTTCGTTTGAATATAAAGTAAATGAACAAGATAGTCGTACAGATGAGGGTATTTATATTATTCACAATCTAAAACATAAATAATATAATATGTGTATTATTATAGCACCAGATCTTTCATCGATATTACGAAACGATTCGTTTAAAAATCATTACAAAAGTCTATTCTCCGAGATGTCGATCATAGGTTCGGGCGGTTTTGGGACAGTAGTTAAAGTGAAGCAAATATTAGATGAACACATATATGCCGTCAAAAGGGTCGAGTTTCAAAGTACATTGAGCATTGTCAATTAATTCGTGTTATTAATTAGTATTTCTCAAAAAACATTTCAGATTTTACCGACGAGTATAAGAAAAGGATTCTCAGAGAAGTGAAAAACTTAGCGAAAGTTCGCTCGGAATTTGTTGTTCAGTATTTCAATTCGTGGGTCGAAGTGAACGTACTATATATTCAGATGGAGTTCTGTTCACAGAATTTAAGGAATATTCTTAAAGTTAAATCACAAGTATTTGGTCGACAGTTAGGCGAACCTATGGTTTGTGTCGAGTATTTCATTTCGTGTGAAATATTCCGTCAAATCTTAGAAAGTGTTCAGTTTTTGCATGAATTGAATCCACAGATTATTCACAGAGACCTCAAACCAGAAAACATATTAATCGCTGAAAATGTAAGGAACGGTAGATTTATTAAGTTATGCGACTTTGGTTTGGCTACAGTTCACCACAAAGACACCCATTACATGACACGTGATAAACATTCTACAGGTGTGGGCACAATAAAATACCAAGCTCCTGAAATATCTCAGGGAAACAAATATGGACATAAAGTAGACATTTATAGTCTGGCAATAATTGGTTCAGAAATATTTGAATTGGATTTATTTTATACCGACCCTGATAAGTATGTATAAATTAAATTGTTATAAATTTTAATTAATTTATTCTTATTTCTAAATATAGTTCTGAAAGCATTTACTCCGGGAATGAAATGCTAAACACAAAAGTAATTTCATTGCAAAAGATATTGCAGTCAATGATATTACCGTTTTATACGAAAAGGCCCGACTGTTCACTAGTATTGAACAAATCTAATGATTGGATTACTGATAAGAATATATTTAAGGATTATAATGTTGAATTGACACTGTCCAAATTAAAGCAGCATGATCCTTTTTTCATTAATATTTTTCAATGCAAACACAATGTCAAGGTATTGATCAATGTTAATATAATTTGGTGAAATTAACAAAATAAAATAAACTTATTAAATGATATATAAATATGTAAAAATTATTTTTGT